ATAGTGCTACACTACCTCCCTAGGTTGCATATTACTATAAAGACTGTCAATTCAAAGCATACTAAGCAGGCAATTGCAAGGAACACGTACTTGGAGCCCTCAAATTTAAAAAATTTGGACAATGGACTAGGCTCCGAGCACACAAACAAATCTAACGCAGTCAAAAGATAAACATCCCCCCACACTTAAGATCGACATTGCCCTCAATGGAGAAGAGGGAAGGAAAAAGGGGAACGATGTTACCGGTTCGCACGGACTGCAGGAGACTGGAAGCGGACCAGTCGGAGTGAAGCGGACTGGATAGAGGACCAGTCAAGACAAGCACAGCTAAAGGAAACCAAAGAGCTCAAACACAATATGTTAGGTCCAATGGTCAGCCCAATAATACATCATCCAAAACAAAAGAAAACAAACCAAAATCAAACCGGTTTACAATCCGACTCAAAACACAAGAAAGAAAGTCAAACCGTGGTGGGGTTGCCTCCCCACAAGCGCTTCTTTACCGTCTTTTAGCTGGATGCCCATGGTGGATACTCAGGGAGGTGCAGGGACAGGTGCCTCCAAGAGCGGATCCACGTCGCTCTTGAGGTACAGCTTCAGGTTGTGGCCATGCACCCGACGGATGCGACCACCATCATCGGTCAGCTCGACCTGGCCATCCGGCAAGATGCAAGCGAGTGAGTACCCGGACGGCCAGGGTGGTCGTGGTGCAGGAGGTGGGACCAACTCATAGTGGTCTCCACCCTTCTTCCGTGCAGGCTTAGCAACCTGCTGCTTCGGCCGCCACTCCTCCTTGATCTTTTTGTTCGGAGGCGAGACTGGATGGAGTGGCGGCGAAGGAATGATAAGAGGGTCCTGCAAAATGAGAGGTGCAAAAGGACACACGAAAGTCTCGTGTACCTGATGAGAAATGGCATGCACAGGTGTGACAGCAATCATAGCACAGTGATCGAATTCAGTCACAGAAAAAGTAGCCTGTTCATTCCCAGCACGCAGGATCAGTTTACCATCATGCACATCAATAAGCGCCTTGGCGGTGGCAAGAAATGATCTACCCAGAATCAAAGGCACATCCACATCCTCATGTATATCAAGAATAACAAAATCAATAGGATATGTGAATGCACCTACATTAACAAGCAGATCCTCTAGGATCCCCCTAGGATGCACAATGGAACGATCAGCTAGCTGAATGCTCATCCTAGTAGGGCTAAGTTCACCTAGGTCTAGCTTTTTATACAACTTATATGGCATGACATTTATGCTAGCGCCTAGGTCCGCCAAGGACTTGCCTACATGCATGCTGCCAGTAGTAAGAGGGATAGTAAAACTCTCTGGGTCCTTGCGTTTTTCGGGCAGCTTGTTCTGCAGGATAGCAGAACACTCCTCGCTCAGCAACACTGTCGAGAGATCCCCAAATTTCTTCTTGTTGGTGAGGAGATCTTTCATGAACTTTGCGTACTTGGGCATCTTCGACAGTGCCTCCACAAACGGTATGCTGATGTTGAGCTGCTTCAACATTGCCATAAAATTGGCAAACTCAGTCTCCAACTTGTCTTTGTGTACGCGAGTGGGGAAGGGAAGCGGGGGTACATGCTCCTTAACCACTGGTTGTGGCTTGGGAGCAGAGGTTTCCTTCTCCACCTGCACTGCTGCATCGTCGGCTGGAAGTGCTGAAGCAGGTAGTGGTGCCTCCTGCCTGGCCGGGAGAGGATCAGCAGATATGGTCTTACCGCTCATGGTAAAAATGGCATCCAGCTGCTGATGCTGGTGAGGATCACGAGGATTCGGAATAGTGGTGGCAGGCAGAGTCCCCGGTGCCCTGGTAGTGTTTTGGCGGGCTAAGATATCCACCTGGTGCTGCAGATCTTGCAAAATGGCACCTTGGTTCCTCTGACCTGCCTCAAGTGAGGCTATGCTCTGGTCCAACCTCGTGACAGTTGCTTGAGTGCTAGTCATGAACGAAGCTAGAATATTTTCCAGCTTTGTCATCCGATCATCTGGGGCAGGAGCTGCTGCTGGCTCGGCATACTGTCGCTGGGGCTGCTGGAATGGTTGCCCCTGCCTAGGCTGGTAGGGCTGCTGCTGTGGGGCTGGCCCCTGTCGAGCTTGGAAGGGCTGCCTCTGCTGAAAACCACCAGCTGGTGCTGGGAAACCAGGTGGCTTAGTGGTGTTGCTGCTTCAAGAGAAGTTGGGATGATGGCGCCACCCCTCATTATATGTATTGTTGTACGGGTCGAGGCGCCGAGCATTGGCGATGAATTCCAACTGCTCTTGGGGAGTAGTAGACTCCCTCATAGCCTGGCAGTCTTCCACCAGGTGATTTGAGCTCTCACACCACTGACATTGAGCTACTGGAGGTGTAGCCAAACCTCTGCCCGGAATAAGACTGTTGGGCTGCTTCAATGTCTGCACTAACTCAGCTACCTGCTGCTCGAGCCCGGATCTGGTCTCCATGGCATGCACACCACGGCCCCGGGAATGTCTTCCTCTGCTGCTCTGCCCTAGGAATGATCTCTAGCAGCCAAGGTATTGATCATTTGGTTTAGTTCGGGTGGAGTTGATGCTCTAAAACACAACACCTAACAATGGCCAAGTGTAACCAATGAAAGGGACTGCAGTATAGTGGCACAAGTAATAAATATCGAATCCACGGGTCTCTAGAGTTACTATTACTCAGCTTCAGTTCATTATCTAGCAAACTAGATTAAGGATTGATTAACTAAACTACTCTACTAACTAAACTAAGTAAAACTACTAATTACAGTTTGGGAACTCACTTAGGTATGATTCCCCCTAGCTCCTCAATTAGGTCCAAGTTGTAATTCCTTTTGGTTGATTTACTGTTGATTAAACTGCGGAAGATCCGACAGTAGCTTGGAATCTCTTAAGCTGACCAAGCCCTCTCAGTCTAACTATCCGGCAGACGACTAGTCTTCACCGGGATAGAAAGCTGAAGCAATAAGCACAGAACTCCACTACTGGAATTGGATTCCAGTACAAAGCAGTAAACTGGCTAACTCTCGTATAGCCAATCTCCTACTATCGAATGATGAGACTCTAGCAACCTAATCAGATTCTATCTATCTCAGATTGCAGCAGGAATCAGGAAAAGTTGATCAGACTTCAATTGACTCAATAAACATGCATCATTCGATTATAATCAAACAATATAACATCCAAAACTTCATACAAGAAAGATCCTAACTCATGGAACTAGGGTTCCTCAAAACCTAAGTGAAGGGAAGTTACTCCATAGAGAAGAGAGAGACTGCAGAAATCTGATCTAGATCTTCAATCTCCATCTCCAAGCTTGATTCCCGAGCTCCAATGGCGAAGAAATCCTCCAAAATAGCTCCAAGAATGTTCCCAAGTCGCTCTCTCTCTCTAGGGTTCGTCCCTTGGGTGTTTGGGATCCAAAACCCAGCTCTCCCTCTCCTTTGGCTCGAATTTGGGTTAAAAACAGCCATTCCCGACTCGCACGGCCAGGGTGCACGGCCGTGCACATCACCATTCTGGCCGTGCACCTCAAAACGCGGCGTATCAATTAGTTGAACCTCAGCCAACTCGCACGGCCAGAATCGTATGTTGCACGGCCGTGCGGATTTCACTTGTGCCCGTGCGTGCCCACGCACAATCCCGCACGGCCAAACTGGTCACTTGCACGGCCGTGCGTGGCCACGCACAATCCCGTGCGTGCCCACGCACGATCCCGCACGGCCAAACTGGTCACTTGCACGGCCGTGCGGGTTGTGGGTGTGCCCGTGCGACTTCCTCAGAACCTCGCCATGCGTCCGATCCTCGTCCAATCGACCCCAGACTCGCTCCTAAGCCTTCATTCACGTCCTAGGACCTGAAATATCACAAACAAGCACAACCTACCGTGAAATCGGCCTAAAACACGAGAATCAACACCTCAAACGGTGTAAGAATGGGGGTAAAAACATGTGTAAATGACGGTCTATCAAACTCCCCCACACTTAACCGTTTGCTTGTCCCCAAGCAAACCTAACTCAAACCAATGCAACTCTCCAGACCTCTATAGCAACAAACACCCCAGATCGTAGGTAGAGGACTTCCTAGATCATTTAGCAACTTACGAGGTCAACCGAAACACAAGTCATCTCATAGCTTCTTCGGCGAGAGCACTAGTATCGAGTCGGCATCATGGCAAATAGTGAACAGAGGACAAATGAATTGTGGATGAAGAGATTCTCAAAAACAAAAGATCATGGACACACATTTTTCAAGGTGCTCTATTTTCTTCTTGAAGATGGTTGGAACCCCTTTTCTTTTCTGTTTTGCATGTTTTCTGTTATTATTTTTTTTTTTTTCAAGGGTCCCAACCTGCTCTTACCGGCCATGCCAGGAGCGGATGTCTCGAGCCTCGTGCGGGGGAAAGACATGTAAGGGGGCTGGAGGTAGTAGGTGGAAATTGGGAACGAATTCCCGTCTCCCCTTACACACTTTCGCCCTATTCGCACGGGAGACGTTATTTTGAAGCACATTTTCGAGCACCTGTTAAACTCAAAACATGATACAAGAGTCCATGACAGGTAGAGAATCCACAACACCACACAATTCAAGGGTCCTAAGATCACTAATTCACTCAATCAACCAACACAATATGAAGAAGCAATGAGACTTCTTAAATGCATCAACATCCTCCATAGTGCTACACTACCTCCCTAGGTTGCATATTACTATAAAGACTGTCAATTCAAAGCATACTGAGCAGGCAATTGCAAGGAACACGTACTTGGAGCCCTCAAATTTAAAAATTTGGACAGTGGACTAGGCTCCAAGCACACAAACAGCCAAACATTCAGCCGCATACATAATCGAACATCCCCCCACACTTAAGCACGACATTGTCCTCAATGGAGGAAAGATAAGGAGGGTAGAACGAAGTTACCAGATCAAGGGTGAATGATGATGTACGGGTCAGGCGGTGCATTCCAGAAAGAGAGAGTAATCAGAACACAAACACCACACAAAATCTCACAAAGGTTGAGTTATTGACTCTAAAATCAAATAACAAAACTGACTCAACCGAGGATAAATAGAGAAAGAAATGCAAACCGACTGGTTGGGTTGCCTCCCAACAAGCGCTTCTTTCACGTCGTGAGCCGGACGATGGCTCCTAAGTTTCGGTCCATGCTAGAACCTCCTTGAAGTTGAGGTTCTCGTCGATGAGGTGGAGTCTCAAGTCACGAGCATGTGGTGTGGCAGGTGATGAAGGCTCGTGCACTTGATGCAGATGAAGTCTCCACCCTAGAGACCTCTTCTTCTCTTCTCTCGTCTCATTGCCCCAAACCAGATATGACAGCATCGATTGGCCACCATCGCGTCCACCAAGAGGGACCGATGTCGATGTGGCCTTGGTCTGGCAAAGAGACACTGCAAATGGGTCCTTGCCAAGCAGCTCCTCGAAGTTTGGTGGAGATATCACATGTAACTCATGGCCGGTGCAGGCCTCTTCCACCTTAACTCCGTCCTCAGCCTGGACGCCAATTGCTTCTTCAACCTCCCTTTCTTCTTCATGTGGTATCACCCCTGGGAAAAGATCAAGAACTCCTCCTGCTTCACTTTCTTCATCCTCCACAACTTCTTTCTGCACCCTTTCTCGCTCTTCTTCTTCTAGCACGGATTGGAGAGCAAGTTGCCAAGCAATTTCTTTCATGAGATTTTCTTGCATCTCCTCACTCATGCCCGCCTCTTCAAAGCTCAGTTTGGGATGTGGGAAGGTGTGGTCGGCTACGGCAGGAAATTCCTGATCATGATCATCACGAGAGCTTTTCGTGAAAACTTCTGTCTGCTCCACAATATCCTTGTAGCCTTCGTCTTCCTCCTCCTCTTCTAGTATGATAGCAGAAGGGTGATCTTGAGCAGGTTGTGCATAAGCTTTCTCAAGATCCTCGAGGCTCTTCTTTATGCTCAGGAGGGTCTCCTCTGTTTCACGGTAGGAGAACCCAGTTTGGGCATTGTCTGGGATATCCATCTTTGGAAAGGATGTCTCAGGTACTCGAGCAATCTGGTCCACGAGAAGCCTCAAGTGATAGTTTGGATCTGGCTGATGGAGGAATTCTTCTTGATAAGGAGATTGTTCTTGAAATACCCAGGGGTCTGATTGTTCTTCGTAGGATGGGGGTTGGTACTGAAACCCGAATCCATAGTCTTCTCCTCCTTGATTGCTCCAGGGGGTCTCGGGGTAATACCACTCGGATGGTGGTGGATACCCCCAATGGTTGGAGAAGCCATGAGGATCCATGATTCAGATCTGCACCAACAAAAACAAAAAACACCCAAGTGAAAAGAAAGGGTGGAAAAGCAAAGAAAAAAAGCTAAAGTAACAAACTTCTGCCTTTCCTAATAATCTAGAAAGTCCCCGGCAACGGCGCCAAAAACTTGATGCTCTAAAACACAACACCTAACAATGGCCAAGTGTAACCAATGAAAGGGACTGCAGTATAGTGGCACAAGTAATAAATATCGAATCCACGGGTCTCTAGAGTTACTATTACTCAGCTTCAGTTCATTATCTAGCAAACTAGATTAAGGATTGATTAACTAAACTACTCTACTAACTAAACTAAGTAAAACTACTAATTACAGTTTGGGAACTCACTTAGGTATGATTCCCCCTAGCTCCTCAATTAGGTCCAAGTTGTAATTCCTTTTGGTTGATTTACTGTTGATTAAACTGCGGAAGATCCGACAGTAGCTTGGAATCTCTTAAGCTGACCAAGCCCTCTCAGTCTAACTATCCGGCAGACGACTAGTCTTCACCGGGATAGAAAGCTGAAGCAATAAGCACAGAACTCCACTACTGGAATTGGATTCCAGTACAAAGCAGTAAACTGGCTAACTCTCGTATAGCCAATCTCCTACTATCGAATGATGAGACTCTAGCAACCTAATCAGATTCTATCTATCTCAGATTGCAGCAGGAATCAGGAAAAGTTGATCAGACTTCAATTGACTCAATAAACATGCATCATTCGATTATAATCAAACAATATAACATCCAAAACTTCATACAAGAAAGATCCTAACTCATGGAACTAGGGTTCCTCAAAACCTAAGTGAAGGGAAGTTACTCCATAGAGAAGAGAGAGACTGCAGAAATCTGATCTAGATCTTCAATCTCCATCTCCAAGCTTGATTCCCGAGCTCCAATGGCGAAGAAATCCTCCAAAATAGCTCCAAGAATGTTCCCAAGTCGCTCTCTCTCTCTCTAGGGTTCGTCCCTTGGGTGTTTGGGATCCAAAACCCAGCTCTCCCTCTCCTTTGGCTCGAATTTGGGTTAAAAACAGCCATTCCCGACTCGCACGGCCAGGGTGCACGGCCGTGCACATCACCATTCTGGCCGTGCACCTCAAAACGCGGCGTATCAATTAGTTGAACCTCAGCCAACTCGCACGGCCAGAATCGTATGTTGCACGGCCGTGCGGATTTCACTTGTGCCCGTGCGTGCCCACGCACAATCCCGCACGGCCAAACTGGTCACTTGCACGGCCGTGCGTGGCCACGCACAATCCCGTGCGTGCCCACGCACGATCCCGCACGGCCAAACTGGTCACTTGCACGGCCGTGCGGGTTGTGGGTGTGCCCGTGCGACTTCCTCAGAACCTCGCCATGCGTCCGATCCTCGTCCAATCGACCCCAGACTCGCTCCTAAGCCTTCATTCACGTCCTAGGACCTGAAATATCACAAACAAGCACAACCTACCGTGAAATCGGCCTAAAACACGAGAATCAACACCTCAAACGGTGTAAGAATGGGGGTAAAAACATGTGTAAATGACGGTCTATCAGGAGTCTTAGTAAGAATATCCCCTCCTGGGCATAGAGACTCAATCACCCTCTGGCTGTCCGGAGAGAGAGCACTGTAGAAGTTCCCCACTGTGAATGCATCACTGAAGCCATGATGGGGACACTGCCAGAAATATCCCATGTACCGCTCCCAAGCATCACGAAGTGACTCATCTGGATCTTGGCGGAAGTGAGTGATCTCCCGCTGGATCTCTGTAGTCTTCGATGCCGGATAGTACCTGTGCACAAATTTGTCAGCCAGATCGTCCCAAGAGGTGATGGACAATGGGGGCTGGGTCTCCAACTACCTCTTAGCATTCCTCGCCAGAGACTGGAGGGAAAAGGTAAAGGCGGATTGCATCATCGGGGACACCGTTCAGCTTGAACCCGTTCGTCAGCTACAGAAAACGGGAAAGATGCACCCTGGCCTCCTCATCCTTCAAGCCATGGAACTGGATAGAGGATGTAATGAGCTGAATCCAGCATGGCTTGATCTCGAAGTTGTTTGCTGGAATAGGCGGGTAGAGGATGACCGGGCGGATGTCAGCAATCCGTGGAGTGTAGTAGTACTCTAATGTGGGACCCGGCGGCGGTGGATGATGATGAACCCCATCTGCCTGGGGTATGGGGTTGTTCCCCAGGACCTGATTCACCGGGGGAGCCTGCTGAGGATTCCCCTGGTGTGGATTGTAGTCTCTGTCCATCCTGTACTCTTCCTCAGAATCGCTGCTCAAGTGGCCGTCTATGCGCTCTTCCGTAGCCAGTCTAGCTTGCTGTTGTCTCCTGAGTTGGCGACAGGCGCGGTCAATCTCTGGATTCAACGGCAGTAAACCTCCCGACTGGCTATGGGTCATGCACTACCTGCACACACTCAAGCAAACAAACCCGTGAAGGCACAAGTGAGACAAAGCAAACAAAGCGAAAAGAAAAGCTAAATTAACAGAAATCACTTTTCTTCAACAACCTAGCCGTCCCCGGCAATGGCGCCAAAAACTTGACTCACTTCTACTGTCACTCTAGGAATTGGCCAAGTGAAACCACTTCCTAAAGTGTAGTATAGCGGGTTTGGGTTTTAATGTCAACCCGGGTCCTAGATTTGATGACTACTTGGTGAATTCTTGTTATCTAGCAATGAAACTTTAGTGCAAGTCTAAACTAACAAACAAGCAAAGCAAGTAAATGGTTGTTTTCAGGTTACGAGAGGTCACCCGGATATGGTTCCCCCTAGACTGCAGTTAAGCCGGATTGCAATTACCAAGTTCAGTTTCTATGATAGTTATACTGCGGAAGGTTCTTAAACAGCCTGAAGTCTCGACTAAAGGTCTTCAGACCCTCTCAATCTGAGTCTCTAGCGGGCGACTAACCTCCACCGGAGTAAACAGATTCAGGCCCTAACGAACAAAATCTCCACTACCGAAGTGAATCCGGTACAAAATAGTGAGTTGGTTCCTCGACTAAAGTCACCAACTCCCTACCTTCAATCAAGGATGCTCTATCAACCTAGGCAGATATTCTCATTCTAGGTTAAAGCAGAAACAACAGGAATTTGATCAGGATTCATGCCGTTCAATCATTCAAACCTCAATTGAATATAATCAAATCATAGATCAGTACTTGGGTTCATACAATCAAACCTAACATACAAATCTAGGGTTCTCCTACCCAGATGAATGGGAGAACTACTCCATGGAGAAAGAAGCAAAAGCAGAATCAGACGCGGAATTCATACTGTGAAGGATGGATTCCTGCTCCTGGACGTTGATCGGCACTTCTCCAAGCTCAAGCTGGCCTCCAATGGTGATGAAGATCAAGCTAGAGCACTTGGGAACTCTTGCTCGTCGCTTTCTCTCTCTAGGAATCGCTCTGTCTCTCTAAAACTCGAATCCCCTTCTGATTTGGCTGAAATCTGCCTAAAAGGGCATCACTGGGCAAAACACGGTCGAGGGCACGGCCGTGCTTTGCTGTAGCCCGCCCGTGCTTTGCCAAGGGTTAATTACACGGCCAGCCTGTTGGAAGAAACACGGCCGTGCTTTTGGTGGACACGGTCGTGTTCTGTCTCAGCCCTGCCCGTGTTTTTAGCCAATGTTTGCCAAACTCAGATTAGCTCTCGGCAGTAAAAGCACGGTCTAGGAACACGACCGTGTTCTGATTTAGGTGTGCCCGTGTTTTGGCTCCAGCTCGACCGAATGACTTCCGAATGCCCCGAAACTCGTGCTTAGCCTTCCCTTTGACGCCTGGGACCTGAAATATGACAAAGCAGCACAACCCAGCGTAAAATAGGCCAAAAATACAAGACTATGCCCCTCAAACGGATAAGAACTAGGGGTGCAAATACGTGCAATTACATCGTTATCAAATAGACTCTGGACAAAAATTGGAGTTATTTGGAATCCATCTATCCTTCTACAACTGTATTTGATATCCTTTCCAAATCGACATCTTATTCCCTCTCTCTCTCAACACATCATTGGCCCTCATGTAGCTCTCTAAACAAAACTCGCTTTAGTCCTGACCTTAGCTTGTAAGATATCTGTTGTCGAAAAATACCTGGCTTTAAGCATCCTCACACTAAATAATTGGATCTATTCATTCTATTTCAAACCTGCTTCACCAACATTTCTTTAATGAAAGCACGAAGATCACGGAAACCCAACGCCCCCCCCCCCCCCTCACTTTTCTCGTCACACATCATATTCCAATTTATCCAATAAATTATGCTTTCTTCTCCTTTTTATCCCCACCAAAAGCTAGATATCAATCCTTCAATTTAATCATGTATTCATTTAAGGACTTGAAAGACCATCATCGGATATAGAATCTGTGATTGAGCAACAACCTTGATCATTACCTCCTCTGCTTATGAATATCGTATTTGACTTCCAGTCTTTTGGTTTGCATCGTACCCTCTCCTTAAAGCCATCAAAGATGATTTTTTTGTCTTCCCGCCATGGTCGGCAATCCAAGATACTTCTCATGCTTATCAACTTCTTTAATTCCTAGAATCTCCCCTATTTCCTTTCTTCGTCTTCCAGAACCTTCTTACTGAATGTTAGCTCTTGTTTGGCTAAATTGATCTTATGTCTAGATTCCATTTCATAGCTTCTTAATATTCTTCTCGACTTCACTTTTCGCCTTTGAGGATCGAGCAAACACTAAACTGTCATCCGCAAATAAGAGGTGCGACACTTGTTGAGTCCTTTTGCTTATTTGTATTACATGAATTTCTCCTTTTTCTTCTGCTAATCGCAATAGGGTAGAAAAGCCTTTATGCACCTAGGACAAGGATGGGGATAAGGGGTCTCGTTGCCTTAGTCTTATCGCAGGTGTAACAAGACACATGCATCTGAGGGCATAGAGATTCTCGATGTTATATTCACTATAGGGTTAATGCACATTAATGAGCAAATTATATGGATCTAGCATTAATACATTCATATTATAAGTGGAAATATATGGATCCTTAAACTTGCTCATTTTTCATACCATTAGTCAACTCTAGTTTGCTCCATAATTTGCATAGTTCCCCTTGTTACTGACCAACCCCAATTTGATTCTTACTTTCTTACTTTCCCCTTTTATTTTTTTATTGAACATTTTCATATTTATTGAAGAAAATATCTTTTGAGTGTGGATTTTAGCAATTTCTTTAAAAGTTATGTGTGTCCCACTTGTAATATTCTCCTTTATAAGGTACGGGTTCTTTAATTATATTTCAATGGGTTAATACCAGTCAAACTAATAAAGTGTAAGTCATTCGTTATACCAATTTGTAGTCTGATTCGATTTTGATAACATTGGTTTTTAGTGTTCAGAAGGTATTCTTAGCTTAAGTAGCTTTTGAAAATTTCAACGATTGTCTTTCGTTTTTCATGCTCTAAGAATAAAACGCAAACTAAGTTTACAACAATCAATAATACCAGATGGTTTTCATGCCGGTGGCATGCCACCCAGTTGAACTTGGTTCAACCTGTGCCAGTCATGAAACCGGCATGATACCACCGGTATGACCGGTATGAGCGACTTAACCATTCTAAGTAAAATGACATCATTTTAATGAATTTAATGAATAAAAAAATAGTTTATTATTTATTTTATGAATGTAATAGTTAAAAGTTGATGATATTTGTTGGATTGTAACTAAATTGTCCACAAATATGTTTTATATATGATTAGATACATTGAATATTAATTGTTTTCACATTTTTATAAACCGGCATGAACCGGCACAAACTGGTTATACCACCGATCGTACCATTTCTCTTGCCAAACCGGCACAACGGTATAAACCGGTTTGACAACCTTGAACCAGACTAATTCGGACTAATCTAGAGTTCCGAACTAATCCGGTCCAATCATTAACCCTTCACTCGCTCGACCGGACCCAAAACCGGATGACAACCTTTCTCTCTTGCCGTTTCCTTCCAAAATTTCTCCTATTCATCTTCCTCGCTCAGAAAAACAGATATCTCTGTGCTTGGATTCCTTCACTCCAAAATCGTCGGAGGTTTTTTTTTTTTAATCTCTAGCAGTCGCACTAGTAGAGAGTAATCAAAAAATCATCTTCCCACCAAAAGAATGGCGATTTCTTCCATCTCTGCTTCGTCGGCAATCACATCTTCTTTCGGAACCCCTAATTCCGTCAGCTATCATTCCTACTCTTCCAAGCTATCTTCATTTTCCTCCGCGACACAGCTTCCGTTCCAGCTGAAACCTAACTGGCTCTCCAATTCACGGATTTCGTCCACCACCGGACCTTCTCGAATCCTACCTAAGGTAAAAAGAGAATGTTGACTTTTCTATGACGGATTTGAACTTATGGTCTTGCGAGCTTCAATGGCGGATTGGAACTAATTTGAGTGGGGGTTTGCCTATTTAGTGTGTTTTGTTGTACACTTTCGATTCCCACGCATTATGAAACTAAGTTGAAATGGATGAGAAATCTATAGTTCAGAAGTTTGACATCACCTACCGGTGGTTTTCTTTGGTTGTATTGTCTTCACTGTTGTCTATATTTGCAGAAGAACTCTGCCATTGCTCTTCTTGGAGTCTGTTTATGAAATTGTTGTCTCCGCGGAAGCCCTATTCCGGAGAGACCCTTCTTCTCCAGTATGAACCCTTCATTCATAAAAACATCTTTTCCGCTGATGACATGATCACTAAGTTGGAAGATAGATATGTGGGCAAAATGTTGCCTGTCTAAAGATTGAAACTTTGAAGAACATCAAGAGTGAAATCACGCAAGATGCTGATTACTAATCAGAATTCCCATTGCTCATGAAATCAGTCAGGATGATCAGATTTTGGTACTGGAGATAGTATAACTTGCCAATTCTCAACCCAGCCTAAGCTTAGCGGTGTCTTGGATTTATTCCTCATTTCTTCTATTGATGCTTAAGCTTTGTAGACCTAGGAATCTTAAGTTACTTGCCCTTCTAGCTGTTGTTTGCTGATAGACCCTACTGCTGTGGTGTGTTTTTCCTTTTAATATCAGTTGCTACTGAATGCTAATGACTTCCATTTTGTTTTTATCATGAGTTTGAGTAACTTTTCCTCGTTGGAGAAAGCCTGTGTAAAAATATATAACCCTTGATTGCTTTAGTGATCCATGATCATTTATGCTTCACAAGTTGATTGGGTAGTATCCTTTTTATCGCAATTAGACATTTTATGCCTAGTTCACTCTCTATGAATCTCGTTTTGAAATAAAAGATTGTGGTTCTGATGATCAAAATACCCTATTCATCAACAGAAGATGAGAAATTTATGTTAGTTAATAAGGGTTCTTTAGTCAATTCTAAATTCCTATTGAACCATTTGTCCCCTTGCTCCTATGGAGTTACAATGGCAGAATATTTCAGTGGATCCTTGGCAAACTTATAGAACATCATCATGTTTTTTTTATGTGAACTACATAGTTGATAGTTGCTGGAGCTTTGGTGATCAAGAGGGAGGTCTAATATATCATGGCTCTAGTTTCTTTGATCCTGGATATCTTGTGTTTTTATTTTCTATCGATGGTTTTGAACTAAGTATGCCCAGTTGATTACTGTTAGGTGAATTCCGAATCAAGGTTGGAATAGGTGGATTGTTGCTAGCAAAGTCCATCAGCACTCTACTATCCGTTCTGGTGCATGTATGTTATCCATAAGTTTGTAGAACAGCATTGATTGTGGAATGTGATTCTGAAGTGTCTTTGCTTAAGCTTTTTATGAACTATTGGTTTTCAACGAGTTTGAGTGCTTAAAATGCAACCTTCATTGTAGGTAAATGTCGGAAAATGCTCACAACTGATTTGTTGGGTTCTTCCTAGGTTTCTGCGAAGAAGGAAAGCTTTGCCAACTTGGATGAGCTGCTGCAGAAGTCAGACAAGCCCGTACTGGTCGATTTTTACGCAACCTGGTAATAACAATCTCTCATATGATTTCCCATATCCTCAATGGTCATTTCTCTCTGTCCTTTCCAAGATCACCATTCATCCGAACCAGTTCATAATTCAGGTGTGGACCGTGTCAATTCATGGTGCCAATTCTGGAGGAAGTGAGCATCATCATGAACGACACAGTCCAGGTGGTGAAAATCGATACCGAAAAGTACACTGCCATTGCTAACCAATACGACATCCAGGCATTGCCCACTTTCATCCTGTTCAAAGACGGGAAGCCTATTGATCGCTTTGTAAGTGTTCATTTCCCCATCTATTTCATAATTCCATGAACAACGGTTCTCAATAAGCCAAGCTTTGTTAAATTTCGGGTTTTGGACTGTGGGTTTCAGGAAGGTGCATTGCCCAGAGACCAACTCATCCAACGCATAGAAAGCTCTCTCAGCGTCCAGCAATCAAAATCATAAGCTTCTTCCTCCTTTCTAGTCCACACATTTCATGAAAGCTCGGAGATTTCCAGGAGAAAAAAGCAAAGCTTCATTGTCATCCTTCCATCCCTTCTTTTCCCCCCATAGATTGTAGATCACCATGAAAGCCAGAAAGGCTCTGTAATTGCTTATCGATCGTTTCCTAATGAAACTATTGGCCTCTTGAAGCTTAGTTTTAGTGTTCATTCTCATACTTTTACCATACGATGGGAGTTTAATAAGCTAAAGAAGTATCGGATAGAGTCGAGAGACGGAGAGCAATGGCTGTCGCTGAGATGGAGAGGATGTTGAAATTGGGTGCGACATAACGCCGGCGATTTTACCGCTCTGCTTTCGTCCTTCTCCCCTCTCTGGTCGGCCGTCCCTACCCACCCTGCCATTCTTCTTTGTTTGAAACTACAACAAAGGCAAGCTCTCGTCCGGCGGCTGACCGAGACTGGCTACGGCTGCGCCACCGGGTTTTATTGTTCCTCCTCTCTCTTCCCAAAAAGAGGATAAAATAACAAGAGCGACTTCACTGGGGATCGAACCCAGAATCTCTGGTTTCGTAGACCAGCGCCTTATCCATTGGGCCATGAAGTCATTGTTGTTGGAGGGTACAACTAATAAGTTTATGATCCCAACAGGTATGGGAAGTCTGCTGAGATTGTTACCAATACAGGTTATGGCACCTGTCGAACCAGCAGCAAGTACGGAAGCCAAGATCAAACAGGCCAGGAGACTGGCCACGGCCGAAAGAACACTAGCTACCTACGGTGATGACCAGACTGTTGAAGAGACTGGTTGCGGTTATAGGTGTCAAAACATAGCCCGACCCGATTAATCCGCCCGATCAACCCGACACGCAATCCGAATTGACTAAAAGTCAACAACTCGTAACCCGCCCGACCCGCAACCCGATTGACCCGCAACCCAACTAACCCGCAACCCGACTAACCCGCAACCCGATTAACCCGAACCCGATTGACCCGCAACCGACTGACACGCAACCCGATTAACCCGAACCCGATTGACCCGAACCCGACTAACCCGTAACCCGACCGACTCAACCCGAATTTCATCTAATCCATTTGAATAATTATAAAAATATACAATACATAGTTTTTCAAAATAAAGTTTTTCATTCTAAACTTAAGTAAAATTATTTTTTCATTTCGTATAAGAAATTTTAAAAATATGAAACTCACTTGATATTACGTATTTTAAGAAAATTACAAAAATTGAAACATGAAGGTCACTTGAGATCATGACAATATTAATATAATATATAAATTAAAATTTTGGTTAATTTAACTATTCAATAAAATTATCAATTAAATATAAATAAAGTAAAGTAATGTATTTGTTAATTTGATGTTTTTAAAAGAAGAGGGAAATTTTGGTGTATTCAACTTTTTGGGAAGAGAAAGAAGAGGGAAATTTGGTTCTTTGATTTTTTTAGAAAAGAAACAAGTGGGAATTTTGGTGGTTTTGATATGTGGGAAGAGAAAGAAGTGGGAAAGTTTGATTCTTTTGATTATCAAAGAGAAATAAGGAGGGAAACTTTTGACTTTTCAACTTTTTATAGAAGGAAAGAAGAGTGTAATTTGGTTCTTTCAATTTTATGGAAGAGAAAGAGGAGGGAAAATTGAGTTTTTCTAATGTATGGAAGGAGAAAAAAGAGGGAAATTTTAGTATTTTTGTGAAAAGTAAGAAGGAAACAAATTTGGTGTTTCAATTTTTTGATTTTTCATAATTTTAGCTTTTGAAATATGAATCTTTAACTTTTATATGGAGGGCATGACTAGTTAAAATTATTCTTATATGCTTTGAAGGCTAAAATGTATATATGTATGTAATTTTTTATGGGCTAATAAATAAATTAACCATTAGTTACAACAATTTATACTAAACTTGATAAGTAATCTTTGACGGTTCGTTGTTTAGGATATAAAATATATGGCTAGTGTATAAGGTATAAGGTACATATGGTTTAGGGTGTATATGGTTAGGGTAAAAGATATTGATGGTTTGGACGGTTCTAAGTTTTTTATTAACATATGTTCACTTGAAGTCATTTGAAGTCTTTAATGGCAGGAGATCCCTTTTTAATTTATGTTTATGGTATGTGGTTAGGGTATAAGGTATGTGGTGTAAAGTATATGATATATGGTTAGAGTATAACAATTAGCAAATATCACTTTTTATCTATGTTTTGAAAATCAAAGTATGAATTTCACTTTTAAATTAACTATACTAGCAAAATCACAACTCAAGGACATATGATTAGGGTATAGGTTATGTGGTTAGTGTATAATGTATTGATGGTTTAGGGTATACAATCAACAACATATACTAACTTAATATTGTTGATTGAGGGTAAAGCTAAGTGTATAGGATATATGTTATTGAGTAAGTTATGATTGAAGTCACAATAATTTTACTAAATTTGATAGCTAATCTTTAATGGTTCAATTTTTAGGATAATTCGAACAATTTTACAAATAACTCGTTTGGCAACAGTTTACTAAAGTTATTTGGGCAATGAGTTATTTTGAAATAACTCCTTTTATCACTATGCTTTTGCCAAATACCACACGCCAAATACCAGATTTGCATGGTTATACTAAACGAGATACTTTAATCCAATTACTACTGAATTAATATTAAAATATCAAATAAACAATTAACAGTGTCTTTTGGTTGCAAATATTGATATCACCATTACTATTAGCTATAATACTTTACCAATTATGATTAATTACATAACAAGTTTGCAAGTCATACAAATTGATTTAACATTTTGACTAGTTTTTTTCAAAAAAATAAAGTATATATATACGAGGTAGAAATAAATTGGTTAAAAAGTTGAGAAAATATTTTAAATTACTGTAATAAAATGTGTAAGTTGTTAATGAGTAATGAGTTAAGTTACTTGATGCGCTGGCCCGAACAACCCGAAACCCGACCCGCCCGACCCAAAACCCGATGAACCCGCAACCCGATTTGCCCGCAAACCGATTGATCCGAACCCGATGAACCCGCAACCCGACTAACCCGCAACCCGTTTGAACCCGAACCCGATGAACCCGAACCCGATAAACCCGTAACCCGACTAACCCGCAACCCGTTTGAACCCGAACCCGATTGAACCCAGCCCGAACCCGCCCGATTGACACCTATAGTTGCGGTCACAACATAACCAGCTACGTGACGGATCAGATTCAGATCGAATCTAGCTATGGCGGACTGGCTGTGACGGTGACAAGTACGGGTTAACAACCAGACCAGTTACGTCCAAAAGAACTCCAGTTATGGATCTGACCAGACCCAGACCGAATCTCGCTACGGCGGCACGGCAACAACTAATTACGACCGGATAATTACAAGTTATGGGTTGCAGGAGCGAAACTAGGATTTCAAGTTTTCAATTCTGGGGGGGGGGGGGGAATCAAACAAAATAATACTATAAAAATGTGAAATAAATTTTATTATCTTAAACGCACACGGCGTCTTTGAGATTAATGAAATCACTCAAAATAGCATCTACGCTAAAAGTATCGATAATATCTTATTCAATATAAATATAAAATATTCTACGAGAGAATGTATCCTAGTTTAGTCAATAGAGAGGAAGAATCAAAACAAGATTGATAAGACAACAAATGGAATATGTTTACTTACATGGGAGATTCTCCTTTAGCATGAGAACAAAGGGTGAGAGAATTATCGCTAATTTGTATCTTAGTTTAGTCAATAGAGAGTAGAAGAATCAAAACAAGATTAATCATCTTATCAACAAATGGAATATGTTTATTTACATTGGAGGTTCTCCTTTAGCATGAGAACAAAGGGCGAGGGAATTATCGCTAATTTGTATCCTAGTTTAGTCAATAGAGACCAGAAGAGTCAAAATAAGATTAATCATCTTATCAACAAATGGAATATGTTTACTTACATTGGATCCTAGTTTAGTCAATAAAGACTAGAAGAGTCAAAACAAGATTAATCATCTTATCAACAAATGGAATATGTTTACTTACATTGGAGGTTCTCCTTTAGCGTGAGAACAAAAAGTGACTTATTCGGGCGGAAGAAAGCTAAAGCTTACAACACTCCATCACAACCATATTACTATCTCAATTGTGCGACTACTACATTTTTTCATACTTCAAGAATTCCCGGGCGGCCATGACCACCTGGGCGCTGCACTGGCTCCGCCCCTGAAGAGGTTTCATAAAATCCCAATTGAAAGTAGATAGGATTTCGGTTCTACTCGAGTTCTCCACTTGTTTGCTACTAGCTCAACGAAAGAAAGAAGTTGATTTGGGGAAGGTCGAAAAGACTGATGTAGAAAAGAAAATGACTAGTGTACGTCAGGCATATAGTATACAACATGTGATCTATCCGTTAGATGTACTTAGATGAGCTTCGACCGATCTCAACGGTCAATTTTTGTTTTTCATTAAATCAAACTTCGGGTTGGGGTTTAGAAAATTGGTGTTTGGAGTTTATCCATTAGAGGTTATGGTATAGTATCATACCCCAAACTCGATTAAATTTATGGTCTAGATAGAGATCGATTTCTCACTAGTAGTACCTGACGTGTGTGTGTGTGTGTGTATATATATATATATAAATGACGTTGCGCCACGGTTGCAGATCGACTCTAGTTGACGATGATGTGTTGTTCAGATGGTATTCACCGTAGTGCCACATATAGATTATTGACAATGTTACTTAATAACGTTAAAGTTTGTAACATAAATGGATAAAGTTCTATTTCAAAAGAGTAGTTATATCTATGTATTTTTTTAAAATTTGACTATTATTATCACAAATTGAATAATTATGACCATGTAAGTGTATAATAGATCACACTGTGATATTATAAGTTCTAGCACAATCCAATAATAATAATTACTAATTTTTTGGCCCGCGCTTCACTGCGCAAGAAAACTGATTATCATTTAATGATTTAGTTAAAGAAAATAATCAACAAAATATTTTGTATAGATACCTCCACAAGGCTTGATGAATTATTTTTTTAACTAATATTGAAATAAATATGTTATGAAAATATCACATTGATTAAACGGTAATATAAAAAAAAACCTTACAGAACCTTTGCGTATAGCAAATTGATCAAATGGTCAACAATATAGTGAATAGTAAAGGAATTTCACTCAAACTTATATTAGGATAGAATTACTCAATATGTTTGTTAATATTAAAGGAACTTTCGTTAGATTTATTTAATTTTTTGTTTAATTGATATATAAGAAATGATTATCCCCTCATAAACTTTACATAGTATCTTAATCATGAAATAGATATCCCTCCATAAATTTTAGATACTGTCTTAATCATTAAAAAAATCCGTAATACATTTTGCTCAATTAATACACTGAAATTAAATTGTTTCTTATGACCTATGAATCTCGAACGTACTTTGTAAATGTGAGATTTATCTAAAGTGTTACTACATACTTGTACGTTTCATTGATGAGATTAACAGTTTTGTTAATAGTAAAGAAACTTTCGTTCAAACTTATACTAAGTAGACTTACTTAATTTGTTTGTCTAATCGCTATATAAGAAATGATTATCCCTTCATAAACTTTACATAGTGTCTTAATCATGAAATAACTATCCCTCCAAAAGTTTTGCGTAGTGTTTTAATCATTAGGACTAATACCACTACAACACCCGAACTATGAACAAAATGTCACTTGTGTCCTATTCTTTCTAATATTCCATTTCTGTCCTGAACTATGATACTTTATGTCGTTTGTATCCTGACGATTTCGTTGACCGTTAAATCTAACGGTTGACTTGACGGCGGTCAAAATTATGTTGACTTTTGGTGACATGGCATCCACGTGGATTGACATGTCATTATTGTTCAAAATCAAATTATTAAAAGAAGTAAAATACAAAATTATTAAAAAATGCTAGTAACTAATGCTAACATTAAATTATTGAAAAAACTCATATACGCAAAAAATCTCAAATACCCTTGATCATGAGACATATAATTGTCACTATAAATAAGAACCAAAATTCCAACTGTAGTAATTAATATTGACAAAATAGAAGTAAGCGGGTCAATTAAGTATCCGAACTCTAAAGTAAAATCATTATTGATAGTCCAAGACCATATGTATTGATAAATCGAAACATTATTTATGTGCTGAATAGAGGGATCGATTGAAAAAATCAGAACTATACTTAAAAAGAAAACGCTTGTAAAAGCCCAGATACGACGACGTTTTTTTATTGCTGCCGGAAAAAGTAGGAGTCCGAGTCCTAGTAACATAGGGACTGGAAGTGTAAGGACAGGGATGATCCATGAATATTGGTATGTATGTTCCATAAAAAAATCTTGGTATTTTTGTTTTAATTAATTTAAATTAATGATTAATTGAATCTTGTTTCAGATTCATCGACTCTTATCTTCTTATCTATTTTCTGTTTTTTTTGTAGTCCTGAACTATGATACTTTATGTCGTTTGTATCCTGACGATTTCGTTGACCGTTAAATCTAACGGTTGACTTGACGGCGGTCAAAATTATGTTGACTTTTGGTGACATGGCATCCACGTGGATTGACATGTCATTATTGTTCAAAATCAAATTATTAAAAGAAGTAAAATACAAAATTATTAAAAAAATTAAAAAATGTCGTCGCTCCGCCCCAGCTCTACTCTCTCCGGCGATTACCAGCTCCTTTTAACATCTCTCGAATCCGATCACATTGCCGCTCCGCCCGAGCTCTATTCTCACATGCTTCTACTTGATTCACTACCGTCAGCCTCCAATTGGGGAACTTGACAGCTACCCACTTCAGCTCGTAGCCATTCTAGATCTGGGTTCCTGTAGATCTCGTGTACATCCGCCTTAAAATGCTCGATCCGAGTGACAAAATGAGTTCCACCTCTCATTTCTCTGCTCCCTCCCCTGATCTCGATCTCAATGATTAAAGCAGCTAGCTAATCAAAGTTTATCTTTCTTTTCAGATGTTGGGCTACGCCAACCATGAAGGCAGCAGGGGATCCTCGCCAACAATGAGTTCCACCCCTTTGCGGCGATCGATTTTCGCAACGATCTCCGTCGTCGTCTCCTCGACAAGATGGGCAAACGAAAGGGAAGATATAGGACCTTCGTCGTCTCCTCAATCGATTTTCACGACGACCTCGTGGGCATTTTCAGCTTTGGAATCGATGTCGCCCCTTCACTTCATCTCGCCTTTGTTGGTGTGATTTCGGAACCCAGGTTCTGGTGCGGATTCTTTGCAGGTATATAGTTCGACGGATGGTGAAGGTGGTGGATTTGGTGAGTGTGTGTGGGGACTCGAAATTTGATCGCGTCGGATCTGTAGCAAGAGGTTGGAGGAGGAGGTGATGGAGTTGAAGTAGTTGAAGATGAAATCGACGGCGATGGTCGGTTGGAAGAGAAGCGAGAGGTGGAAAGGGAAGGTGGAGGAAGGGTCTTTATTTTTATTTATTTTTTAAATGAGTTGGAAAATAAATAAAAATTGGATTAAAAAATTCCATGTAAGATGTCACGTCAACGCTGACAGGATTTTCTGTTAAAAACTAACGGTCAACACGGTCAACACTAACAGATTAATAGTTTAGGACACAAATGGAATATTGGAAAGAATAGGACACAAGTGACATTTTGTTCATATTCGGGTGTTGTAGTGGTATTGGCCCTGATCATTACAATAAATTTTCATGATACATTTTGCTCAATCAATACAATGAAATCAGATTGTTTCTTATGACCTATGAATCTCGCCCGTACTTTGTAAATGTGAGATTAATCGAAAGTGTTACTACATACTTGTACATACCATTGATGTTTTTCTGTTTTCTGTATTTGATGAAATATAATGACCATGAAATAAACAATTTCTACAAAGTTGTAGGAAAAGTTGCTTATATCACCCTCAATTCTCATCAATGAAAAGAAAAAATGAAATTGATATTTTGGCAGAGTATCTTTTTCTACCCAGCGTGGCTTAGAGAATGGAGGATTGGTAGTTTAAAAATGAGATTGGTTGTTAAAAGTTAAAACTAATAATAGATGTGACTGCAGTGAGAAACAGCGGCCCTTGGACATCGCTTAATTATTAAATGAACAGTAATTCAGTTGTGCTATTTTTTCGTAAGGAATAGTAACCAAAATTTTGGTTGCTTGCGGTATAATTATATAATAATAATAATAATAATTATTATTATTATTATTAATCAGCCTCCGAAAGCGGACACCACCGCAGCCAGCGGCGGCGTCACCACCACCACCTGCGGCGGAGGAGGAGGCGAAGAAAAAACAGTGCTAGTTGTCGTTTTGCAGTAGCGGTTGAGGATATCACCTTCCTCGGTGGTGAGCCCAAGCGACTCCATCATCGACGGCCAGCAGTGCTCCGTAATCGTGCGGGTGGCCCGGCAACAACGCTTCCCCAAGTGAGTCGTCTCGCCGTTGACGAAGAACAGTATTACCTCTTCCGTGCACGCGTGCAGCTCGACTAGAGTCTCCCAGCACGTCGACGCCGCCGTCCAGTTTCAGTAGCCGAGCCGCCAGATCGGAGCTCGAGGATGCCCTGGCTGCCACGTTGCATGTGCTGACGAGGAAGAGGAAGGCGATGAGAAGGATGTTGCGGTAATGGGAATGAGAAGTGAAAGGCGCCATGTTTAAGAGATGGGATATGGAGATAAATGGTACAAGACGACAAATATGTGGAGGCTACTAATGGTGAATTGGTGATGATGGGTAATGGGTGTTAGGGGTTAGGTAACCTGGATCGGGAGCGAGAACGGAAGTGTCAGAGCGTTCGTTTTCGAAGAATTCAATATTAAGAGCATGAATAGAGCGTCAATATTATATTATTTTAATTAATAAATTATTATTATTTCAGATTATTAAATAAAATATAAACAATATTATCACAACTTACTCCTACAATTTAATTTCCCTCGTTCTATTATACAGCACTTCCCATTTAATTTCACTTTGTGTGGAGACTAGCCAATTCAATGAACGTCATTTTAATTAATAAAAAAATTATTATTATAATATAAAAAATAGTCCCACACCACCCTAAAAAACGTCTCTTTCTTCACATCTTCTCCACCCATCCTTTTCTGGATGTCTCTCAGCTCTCTCTCTCCCCCCTTTATTGCCTTCCTTCCTCTTCTAATAGTAGTAATTATAGCATCTCTTCAATCCAAGCAAGCAATCAGGGATGGGGAGGGTAAGATTTTAGAAAGTCTGCGCAGATGATGTCGAGAAGCCTCTTCGCCCACCTTCTTCCATTTTTGTCGATCGAAGCTCTCTACCCAAGCGCAAGATCTGCTATCCAGAAACGCAGAACCACAAGCTCTCAACCGCCTCATCATTCTATCACAAGCAACGAATTCCAGACTGCCCTCCCCCACTGATGAGATTGGTGTTGCTGCATGCATCTCTAATGCCATAGAAATCTCAAATTTCTTTCTCCCCCTTTCTTCTAAATCTTCTTTTGAGACCAGGGAGACTTGACCCAACAGCTGAACAGAGTCGTGCTTTTGAAGAATAGACCCAAAAGGTAATTCAAGGGACAAAAGACAAGAAGAGGAAGAAGATCAAAGTTATCCTTCTGAGTTCGCTGAGAGAACGCGCTCCAAAATCACAAATCGCGCTCTCATGAAACATAATTCAAGAATTTTTGGCGAAGTCTCAAAAAATCGCGCTTTGGCGATCTGGAGCGGGAACGTGGAGGGTAGAGAGGCGAATTGGGTGACCTAAGTTAGGGGTGTTCAAACGGTGTGGTAATCGTTTTAATCGGTAGTATTTGGCTAATTTGGTTTGGTTAATTTGAATAATTGCTTGTTTGGTTTAGGTGGTTTGGTTTGGTTTCATACACTCCTAACCAATCAAACCAAATTAACCAGTTAAGTAATTATCTATATACCTAATATATATTATATACACATACTTAATACTTGACATAACCACTCAAGAGCCAAACATTCCTTCTTTTTAGACTCATCAACAATAAAGATTAATATTATTCCTATATTTTATATTTGTATTTGTAGAGTGTGAACCATGATATGTGAACGCGCAATTTAGATAAATCTGATACAATTTATTAGATGAAAACTTGAAAGAAATGTCTTTTTCAACCAATTATAATTGCTTAGAGACTAATTCAATTCACACAATCACAAAAATTTATTAACTTCATATAATTGACATATATTTTTGTTATGTGAATACATCGTAAGATAATTGTATTAGTTGCATATATTTCTCTAAGAGTTAACTATAACTATGTGTTCATTGTAATGTCTCATTCATCATATAATTGTGAATTGATGCGCAAAAGTTTTCTCACTTAGTGATAATGTGTTGTTATATTGGTTAATCTGGTTAACCAATTAACCAAACCGATTAAATTTTAATTTGGTTAATTTGATTGTTGTATTAGTTTGGACGGTTTGGTTATGATATTACAATCCATGGTTAATAAATTTTTTGCTTATTTGATTTGGTAATTACCATAATAACCATTTAAACACACAAATTCTGTGTATTTATGTTAAAAACAGATCCTTGGGATTGGGGAAGCTAGCTAAAAAGTAGAAAGGCATGTATCTATAGATATACAGCTATTGATCAAGGCAATTAATCTATTAAGGTTTGACGAGACATCATCATACATTTCCAAGCATATTCAAATATGATATTTATTAATCACTTGAGTGCAATATAATGTTAGCGAATCTAATTTGTACTCGCTATTTGTTCGGAAAAAATGCTATCTAAGAATGTTGTAAGCGATTTTATCAATATGAAACAGTTAAATCACGATTTAAATATAAAATATAAAATTATTAACTTTTTCATTACCAAAGTAGACCCTCATTCAAATCACTTTTTTCGCTCAGGTAAATAAAATTAATAATTTTCCACACACCAATGGTTTATTCATTCACAATCTCAGAGTTGGGAATGGGAACCGATTGAATGGTAGTTCATTTATGATTTCGTTCTGGCACTGTTATTAATGATACATATTGAGTAATAGGGTGACCCATTTGGTGGCTAGAAAAGTCCTCTCTTTGTACCCGATCATGAGTCGTTTCTTTGATTTTCGGACCTGGCTTGGTTCCAGGGTATAACTATCTATGTTTTGGTATCAGTATATGATTATCTTTTGTCAAAAAAAAAAATGATACATATTGAATGGCTGATTGGTCTAGCTAGTAGCTACAAGGCTTTCGTTATGGGGTAGGGGTGGCTATACAGTTCGGTTCGGTTAAATTGGTCCAAATTGATCCGGTTCTGTTCCGGTTTATTTGGGAATTTAAAGGAACAAAGATTGTATTGAATACAGTCCGGTTTTGATCGGGTCCCAATTTGGTCTTGATTTTAGATTGAGCTTGTGTGGATATGAGTGGTCTGAGGTCTCAACAGGCGAGGAGTTGGTTAAGTCTTTGGTGTTGGGCTCTCTTATCCGGTTTTGGGTGTTGGGCTCTCTTATCCGGTCTTAACTGGTTTATGTCCGGTCCCGAACAGTTTTTTTACCTCGAATCTAAGCTCGTACCAAATAGCCACCCCTAGCCTGGGCTATGTTGGGGTAGATTGAGCTATAAAAAATTTATTGACCCAAATCTTCGTCTGATATATATAAAACTGTTGCCCGCACCGGCAGCGGTTTTGTGGCGGTTAATGAAACGCTGCAAAGAGACATTTTTTCTTGTAGTGGGTAGGGGTGGGCATGGGTCCAGTACGGGCCGGATCAGACCAAAGTCAGGAGCATCGTGGTCCAATAGTGAATGATATTTAAAACCAAGGACCTGATCAATAGTGCATTCGGTTCATTTTGGTCAGGTCTAAATGTCAATTTGACCCATTTTTTCAGTATTTATAAAATTCATGGGAGCAAGGACCAACCATATTGTATTCGATTCAGTGTGATCCGGTAAACATCGATCAGACCAAAGTGGTGTACCATACAACTAACCTTCTCAACAATGTCAACCAACCAAAGAGCAAGTGGAAGCTAAACAAGGACCAACATCCTCCGTAGCGCTACATTATCCTCCTTTAAATGCACATCATCATGAAATTTAACAATTCAAAGCACATTGAGTATGTAAACACAGAGAGCAAGGTGTTTGAAAACCTCAATTTTGAAAATTTGGGCACTTAAATGAGGTTCCAAAAAAACTCTCTATATAGGCTATAAGACTATCATTCATCCACAAGTGCTTGGAGTCCTCTTTTTTTTTTTTTAAATTGCGCATTCAACTAGGCTCCAAAGCATTCATAAGATAGACCAAATCATTCCTTCACACACGCATCATGGAACACCCCCACATTTAAGCATGACATTTTCCTTGATGGAGAAAAGATAATGCGGGTTAGAATAAAGTTAACGGGTTATGTATGAATGACTCGCCTTTATCGTCACTCTAGAAAATGGCCAAGTGCAACCACCTACTAGTGTGTAGTATAGCGGGGTTGGGTTTAAATGTCAACCTGGGTCCTAAGTGTGATGACTACTCCGCGAATTCTTATTATTTAGCGATGAAAATGTAGTGAAGGTCCAATCAAACAAACAAGCAAAGCAGTAAAAGGTTGTTTTCAAGTTGAGAGAGGTCACCCGGATATGGTTCCCCCTAGACTAGGGGTGTACATGGGTCGGGTGGTTCGGGTTTAGTCATTTTAATCACCCGACCATGCACTACGGTTTGGGAAATATCAAACCCAAACCCACCCAAAATAATTTAAACCCTACGGTTTGTTTCTAATTGGGTCGGGTCGGGTTGACGATATTTTTAAATAAAAACCCAACCCAACATAAAATATATAATTATTCTACATCATAAAAAATATTTTATAACTAATTAAAATTTCAAACGAATGAACCATGGTGAAAGGTATCAAAATTCACAAATGTTGTTTAAATTTTAATAAAATGTGATTTACTTCAACATATGTCTTGTTTTTTCACGATATTTGTTGAAATAGACTAAAAATGTTATAAACAAACGCATCCATCATATGTTATTCTATTAAAATTGTACACAAGAAAAAGGATTACGTGAATCATAACTATATTCAATTTATGTCTAAACTTTAAGTCGAAGAATGCATTGGATTAGGGAGACCATGAGAGAAAAACATGGCGAATATCTTAATTTTCTCATAAGTATATGACTAAATACGACATAAATATTTTTTAGATCCGAACTCATATTAATAGTTGGAACACGGGTTGGGTCGGGTTCTACGGGTTGTGTAATCCAAAATCCAAACCCAACCCAAAAGAGGCGGGTTGTACAAAAGAAAACCCTCACCCAACCCAAAACCTTCGTTTTAGCGATAAATACGGGTGGGTCGGGTCGGGTTGGACGGGTGGGTCGGTTTGCGGGTTTGTTTGTTCACCCCTACCCTAGATTGCAGTTAAGCCAGGTTAAAATTTACCAAGTTCAAGTTCAATGATAGTTATACTGCGGGAGGTTCTCAAACAGTCTACAGTCTCGACTAAAGGTCTCCAGACACTCTCAATCTGAGTCCCCAGCGGGCGACTAGCCTCCACCGGAGTAAACAGATTGAGGCCTTAACGAACCAAACCTCCTCTACCGAAGTAAATCCGGTACAGAATAGTGAATTGACTCCTCGACTAAAATCGTCAATTCACTACCTTCAATCAAGGGTGCTCTATCAACCTAGACAGATATTCTCTTTCTAGGTCAAAGCAGAAATAACACGAATTTTGATCAGGATTCATGCCATTCAAGAAATCAAACCTCAATTGAATATAATCAAGTCAATGGATTCAAACTTGGGTTCATACAATCAGACCTAACATACAAGTCTAGGGTTCTTCATACCCAGGTGAATGTGGAAGTTACTCCATGGAGGGAGAAGCAAACTCTAGCTCAGAAGCAGAAAACATGTTGTGAAGGATAGGGTTCTGCTTCTGATCGTCAATCAGCACCTCTCCAAGCGTTATCCGAGCTCCACTGATGATTAAGATCGATCTAAGGCGCTTGTGAACTCTAGTTCGTCGCTTTCTCTCTCTAGGTATCACTTTCTTTCTCTAAAACTCGGAACGCTTCAAAAATCAGCCTTCTTTCCCTTAAAAACCAGCAGGCCGCGATCCCCGGTCATAATACCCGATCGGGTATTTCAGGTGCCCGGCCGGGTATTTTTAAACGCTGCGCAGTGGGGAAAGGGAATACCAATCAAGGGTCAGAATACCTGATCGGGTATTTTAGCCATCCGGCCGAGATCCCTCCTAGATCTCTGGTGTCCAAAACGTGAAATCCCCGGCCTCTCTATGCAGATTACCCGGCAGGGTATTTTAACTCCTGGCCGGGTATTTTGCTCTTCCAGCACCCTTCTACTCCAATGTCCTCCTTTTGACCCGAAACTCGTTTCCTCCCCTTCACGTCAACGCTAGGTCATGAAATATGACATAAACACATAACCTAGCGTAAAATGGACTTAAAACACGAGAATCGACTCTCAAACAGCTCAAGAATGGAGGTATAAACATGAGTAATTATTGATCTATCAAATTCCCCCACACTTAACCGTTTGCTTGTCCCCAAGCAAACCTAACTCAAACCAATGCAGCTCTCCAGACCTCTATAGCAACAAACAACCCCGATCGTCGGTAGAGGATTTTCTAGATCATATAGCAGCTTACGAGGTCAACTGGTCTTCTAAGACGTCCCCTATCTCTCGTAATGCGAGTACTAGACTCAAAGCAGGATCATGAGAAGAAGTGGAAGTAAGACAGCCAGTTCATGGGTAAAGGGACTCACACCATTCACAACCAAGGACACATTGTATTGGAGTGCTCTTTCACTTCATTTCACCGTTGGAACCCCTTTTTCCACTTTCATTTTACATTTCTTTTTTTCCCCTTCACTTGGCAGGGGTTCCAACTGCATTCTTTTGTACGGTCGACCCTTATTAGTCGAGCAAGAGCAATTTCTGTACATCTGGCACTCGCTAGAGTACTTCTTTTAACTCCTTTTCCTCAACTCTTGTGGGGGGTCAATGAAATTAAGGGGGGCGGGGTCGGAAGCCCTATCCGTGCCCTTAAAAACACATCCTCGAGTAGGCAAACCGTTCAACGGGTGAATGAGACTGCATGAGACTGGAAGGTGGACCAATCGGAGTGAAACCGTCTGGAAATGGGACCAGTCGGTGCAAAGGCACAACTAAAGGGAACACAAGAACTCAGCCACAATACGTTAGGTCCAGGTGTCAGCCCAATAGTACATCATCCAAAAGAAAAGAAAATAAACCAAAACACAAGGCAGTTTGCACTCTGAATCAAAACAAAAGCAACACAAGACGAGCATCGAGTATAGCCTACTCGAGCCCAGTGAAGTCGATCTGGTCCATGAGGTCGTCAACCCCATATGTAGGTGGTGGCGGGGGGTGGTGAGTGGTCCCACCAGGTAGTCCAGTGGTGCTCCTGTGGCAGTGGGGAAAGGGAAATACCCGATCAAGGGTCAGAATGCCCGATCGGGTATTTTAGCCATCCGGCCGGGACCCCTCCTGGATCTCTAGTGTCCAAAACGTGAAATCCCCGACCTCTCTATGCAGATTACCCGGCCGGGTATTTTAACTCCTGGGCGGACACTTTGCTCTTCCAGCACCCTTCTACTCCAACGTCCTCCTTTTGATCCGAAACTCGTTTCCTCGCCTTCAAGTCAACGCCGGGTCTTGAAATATGACATAGACACACAACCTAGTGTGAAATCAGCTTAAAACATGAGAATTGACTCTCAAACGGCTCAAGAATGGAGGTATAAACTTGTGTAATTATTGGTCTATCAATGAATAATGGTGGACGACCGGAGGACGGCCACTCGGGAGAGCAACTCAGCACACCACAATCTCACAAAGATTGACTTATTTAAAGGAAATTAAATACAAACCCAAGGGTTTAGTTGTCTCGCAACATACGCTTCTTTCACATTATGAGTCGGACAGTAGCTCCTAAGTTGTTCATCCCAAAACCTCATTTAAGTTGAGGTTCTCGTTGGTGATGTGGAGGTGCAAGTCACGATAGTACCTCCTAATAGTACCTCCTTTAAGTTGAATGTCCGCACATTATTAAATATTTTCATTTGATACTTGCCGTTAAATTTTTTATTAGAAAAATTAACGATGCAATTAAAATTTGACTTAAATAGTTTAGTTGTTAAGAACCAGTTGATCCCAATAACTCGAGTTGTTGGGAGAGGTTCAATCGTGGATCATATACCACAACACTAACACGCCCCCTCAAACGAAAGCCACTCACAAGGGCTTGAAATTTGCACAGGTCTGAAGACAAGAATACCATGTGCTTAACAAATGGGGGTCACCGGGAATCGAACACAAGACCTCTCGGTCACAGAAGGCTCTGATACCATGTCAAGAACCAGTTGATCCCAATAACTCAAGTTGTTGGAAAAGGTTCAATCGTGAATCATATACCACAACACTAACGAGTTTCAACTAAAAAGATATAGGTGGTCACATTCCAACGAAAGCAGTTCGTAATTGCATTTAACCCACAAACAAACGACCCCTAGCTTTAGCCATTAGCAAACACTTGATCTAATTCCATTCTTCCTTCTTTCTAGTTTCTATTACATCACATCTCCCCACCTCGTTCTCTCTCTCTCTCTCTCTCTCTCTCTTACTCGGTCGCTCTCTCGCAGGCAAGCTCTCTCCTCTTTCGGTATATTCCCATCTCATCTCGCCGCGCAGCTTTATCTACTTCTGTTTCCTGCCTTCCGTCGTCTTCTTCTTCCTGTGCCTTTTACACCCGTGTGTTTGTTTCCCGATAGAAATCAATGGTGGGCTTATAAGCTCGGGATGGGGATAGTTTGATTTAGAGCTTCCCGGAACCTCCAATACTGATGGCTGTACCGCTTTCGCGCTAAAGTTGTGTTCTTTCTCTTTCTCTTTTTCATGTTCTTGTTCGTCTCTGTTCTGCTTTTGCCGAGGAAAGCTCTTCTAGGGTTTTAAATTTTGCGCAACGTACGAGCTGAATTAGTGGGAATGTTTGTGGGATGGTTTCTTGATATGGATGCTTTATGGTGTTTGCTTGGAGTGACTGACCGGAGTATGGTTGTTTATGTCAATTGGGGTTCTTGTAAATTCGAAAGCTTGATTCTTGGTATCTGTTTATGTGTGTTTGGGATTGTGGGATTTTCGTCTTTTTTAGGTTCTTGATTGGTAGTGCATCTCAGAATGAATTAGACTGAAGTGGGATGTTTGTTGTTAAGAGTATCTTATTTTTCCACTCCGAGAGGAAGCAGCAGAGGTCATTACATGCGTTGTTCTTAGTGGTGGAGCTTGTGGATTAATTGTGGTTTCAATTTTCTGCAGGCTTTACTCGAAATGACTGAGCCCTCTAAGGTTATCCATGTCCGCAATGTCGGGCATGAAATTTCCGAGGTATATCTCCCTCTCCCTATCCCTCCTTTTATGTATTTTTTTTACTTTCTCATCCTTCAGCATCACTCTAAAGTCTAAACTCATTGCAGTAATGCTGTAGTTTATGCACTTTTTTCTAGCCTTCTGAAAGTGTTTCACGGTTGCAAAATAAGTAGGACTTGTCGTTTTGTTTATGAAAGATAAGTAAGGTCATTCGATTGTGTCATCTCGTGGCATCTGAAATGATCGGTTTTGTTTAATATAATGGTTTTAGTTAATGCATCAGCAAACACATTGTAATTGCAAATATGGTATGATATATTAGGATTTGGGAAGAATCTGCTGGTCTTAAGTTTTGCGCTGCAATACGACCACGTGTCAGATTGGAAATCTGACAGTACTGTTGTGTGATCTAGGCTCATTTACTTGATATTTAACTCTGATCGTGTCTTGAAATTAAATTTAATGACGATTATTTCATCCTTAATGCAGATATCATGATTTTTTATGCTATATATATTTTGGTGTCACTATTGATTGTCGAGATAATATACATAATGTAACTGTACTGCCAAAAATGTTCTTAATTCAGAGACAATACACTGTGCTCATCATGAAATGGTATGAAGCTGGAAACTTTTATGATCTTGTGCTGTATTAGTAGTTCATCAAGACATGGATAACCCATTTTAATTCTACTATTAAGTATGATAATCAATTTTTAAATGTCTAAGTGTGCTTGTTGAATAAAAAAAACATCTGTTTGGGCAGAGGTTGCTTTTTGCTCCCAGAATGACCATGTGGAATTGAATCTGTCTTGCTTTCTCTATGCCTGCCTCTAATGCTTGTTTCCTATTCCCAGAATGACCTGCTCCAGTTATTCCAGCCATTTGGGGTTATAACAAAACTTGTTATGCTTCGTGCTAAAAATCAGGTATGTTTACCATCTCTTATACAAATTAAAAAGCCTTCGAAAGGGACAGATTGAATTCAGAAGAGTTAAAAAAAATATTATCCAGTAGTAGTTCAGATGTGGGTACTCCGAATAAGTACCATAGGATCTTAGCGGAGTGGTCTGAGGAGCTCAAAAAGTGCTAGAAATATATGTATCTCATACAAGTAACAGCCATCACTGGTAAGTGGTAACTGTGTTGTCTGGTAACTGTGTAGGCTCTCCTTCAAATGCAAGATGTTAATTCAGCGATAAGTGCCCTGCAATTTTATACAAATGTTCAGCCAACCATAAGGTAAATGATGAGCCCTTTTTGTTTATTTCTAGGAGCCTTCAAGAGGAACTTCATTTCCCAATACGTTCTTGCTTTGCGAAAACATCAGGATCTGCGAACTTAATTCGCTTCTTATTATCGGATCTTTGGTCTTAGGAGATTTACAAAAGTTTCTTTCTTTCAGAGGTAGGAATGTCTATGTCCAGTTCTCGTCACATCAAGAGCTAACTACAATGGATCAAAGTACTCAAGGACGAGGAGATGAGGTTGGTACTCAAGCCACCCTTAGGCATTTAAAAGTTCTTACTGTTAGAATATAATGTGAAGATAGTCTGAAATGTGGCTTCATGTTCTGCTGACTGTTGATCTCCTCTTTTGCCTAGTTCTCCTACTTGTATGTTCACCATTATCCCAGGCAAAAATATGTTGCAATTAGTGTAATAATATACCATGAATGATGTTTTTATACCTTTTCTGTTGTTGTTTTTTACCTGTTCAGCACATCTAACCTCCATGGGTTGATTGATCTTATTAGAATATCTTATTGTCACCTTTGCGTCTTTCTAAAGCGTTTAACTGTAGCCTGCTTGTTCTTTAGAATGTAATTTTATTTAAGCTTATACCTTCTACTAGCTCTATCGAGTGTAACATCCATTAAGGATGACAGGGTATTCTACTGTGAGAAGCTTATTGCATGTCCTATCAAAATTTCTAGGCTTTACTCTGAACTCGACTGACTATAACTTAAATATTTCTCATCTTCAACTTTCGCTTTCTGTCCTGCTCATCTAATATCTTCTCCTCTTTGTTATTCTTTATATCTTCTCTTCCTCATTCTCTTCTTTCTCTTGTCTTCATGTCTGGTATGTTGTTGGGACTCTATGGATGCAGCAGCCAAATCGAATTTTGTTAGTGACAATCCATCACATGTTATATCCTATTACAGTGGATGTGCTGCATCAAGTTTTTTCTCCTTATGGATTTGTGGAAAAGATTGTGACTTTTCAGAAGTCAGCTGGTCAGCTTCTTCTAGCTTCTTCTCCTATATCTTTCTGTTGATTTTAGTTTCCGTTGTTGATAGCATTTGGTATTTGCTTATGTGTTCTGTAGGCTTCTTATGTCCAGCTCTTCTGCCCGTGCGTTCTGGAGGTTTTTGATTCTGTCTTGGTTAACTCACAATTCTTTCTTGGTTCTCTGGTATTTCATGTGTTCCAGGTTTCCAAGCCCTTATTCAATACCAAGTACGCCAGAGTGCAGTATCTGCTCGGACTTCTCTTCAGGTACCATTCTGTCCTTTCATGTTGAAGGTTATTTGAGCTCTTACTTGGAGCTCTATATCTGATGGGAGAGCTACTGGGCAATCTGCAGGGCCGCAATATATATGACGGCTGTTGTCAGCTTGACATTCAATTCTCAAAGTATGTACAGTGTGGCTCTAATTTATTCAGTATAGCCTTTGTGGTATCTTGTGCACTTCCTTTCTGGTCCTTTAGGTTTGGGCTGGCTTTGTAGATTTGGTTTCTTCCTGCCCTTTGACATTGACTGTTGTGTTTTGTCTCTCTCTAGTTTGGACGAGCTGCAAGTGAACTACAATAATGATCGTTCGAGGTAAATCTTCGTTCTCATTTATCCTTGTGATGCTATTGCAATTATAGTCTTCCAATACTGACCATTGTCTATCTTTGTCAGGGATTTTACCAACCCAAATCTACCTTCAGAACAGAAAGGGAGATCCTCTCAAGTACGATCGTTATCAATGTCTTAAATCTTTCCACAGCTTCCTTTAAGGATGTAATTTTTTATGTGGCTCTTATAAACTTACTAAATCCTGTTTCTTTTGGTGTCTGGAATGCAGTCTGGATATGGAGATATGGGGGGCATGTATGACCATCAATCCTCTGTTGCCGGTGCAGGTGTGCTAGATTTATAAATTAGCAAAGTTGCATGCTCTTTTCTCATTTAATGTGTGCTTTGTGGGCATAAATTAATCCTTCTTCACTTCCTCTTGTTATTTGTTGCAGTTCCATATCCTCAGGTTGGCCTCTCAATCACGGTTCTGAGTTTATTTAAAATGGAGCACTTTTCTGCTTATTTTGTGCATTATTATTCCTTGTCAAGCAACAGGCAGCTGAATCGATGCCAAATTTTCACAATATCTGTATACAACCTTGTTCAGGATGGTAGCTTGAGCTTCACATGATTTATATTGAACTTGCTTTTCAATGTCCTTTTTGTGGCTCTTTAGATGGGGAATGCTGCTGCAATTGCTGCTGCCTTTGGTGGAGGATTGCCTCCTGGCATTAGCGGAACAAATGACCGATGTACTGTACTTGTATCCAATTTAAACCCTGATGTAAGTGTGCTCTCTGTCAATTCTCTTTGAAAATATTTGGTTTGGTGCTCATCCCTGGCATTGTTGATTCCTGAGGCATATTTTCACTGCTGCAGAGAGTAGATGAAGACAAGCTTTTCAACCTCTTCTCTCTGTATGGAAACATTGTCCGAATCAAACTTCTCCGTAACAAACCTGACCATGCACTTGTTCAGATGGGAGATGGTTTCCAAGCTGAGCTGGCAGTCCATTTCTTAAAGGTTTTGTTCATTGCTATTTCACTATTTCAATCAGCTTGCTAAAATAACAAGTTAACCATATGTTAAAAAATTTCATTGGTACAGGGTGCAATGCTATTTGGAAAGCGCCTGGAAGTCAACTTCTCGAAGCACCCTAACATAACTCAGGGTGCTGACACTCATGAGTACATAAATTCAAATCTCAACCGCTTCAACCGCAATGCTGCAAAGAACTACCGGTACTGTTGCTCTCCGACAAAGATTCTGCACATATCTTCCCTGCCTCAGGACATCGGTGAGGATGAGATTGTGAGGCACCTGGAGGAACATGGCCCAATCATCAACACTAAGCTATTTGAGATGAATGGAAAGAAGCAGGCCCATGTCCAGTTTGAGACAGAGGAGGAAGCCACAGAGGCCCTAGTCTGCAAGCATGCCACCACGCTGGGTGGGTCGATTATCAGGATCTCCTTCTCACAGCTGCAATCGATCCGAGAAAGCTCGTGAAGCAAGGGAGCAGTCCTACTCAGGGTAAGGGAATGAATATGGTGGTTGATGATTGTCTCTAAGCAAAATTGGGATCTTTGGCAAAGGATGATCATGATGTTAAAAATGTGTGCTTTGCTGCTGCTGCAAACCGTTTATTTTTTCTTGTAATGCTCTTCACTTGTCTCGCATGGTAGATGATGATGATGATGATGATTATGCTTTGTTTTGATAATTTTGATTTGATCATCCTAGCGACCTATTTTCTAAGATATTATTGTTGTACTACCCTGCTTCCAATTATTTTCATCCGATGGTCAGTCGGATTTGAGATATCACCATGGCTAACATGAAGAGTCGGATGACTATAGATTGGGGGTTCTTGATTTTTGCAGATAGCAGCTCCAGTTTTAAATAGCGAGAAAGTAGGGAGGGAGGGAGGCAGATTTTTAGTTTTGGCCAAGTTTGAGATAGAGAGATGAGCGTGGCTATCAGAAATGTTTGTATAATTTTATTTGTGTATAATTCTTTTATTATAATTAAGCTCTTTGTTATCTACTTGTGTTCCTTCTTTCTTGAACACTCCTCTCCTCACTATCATCTCTTCTTCCCTTCCATCCTTCCATAGCTTCCTTCTCCTTTCACTCTCCTCTCCGGCAATGCCTTCTTTCTTTGTTCTCTTCCAAAGTCATTTATTAGACAATTCTCTTTCTCCTCCGTTCTCTGTTGTCTATCCTTCCGTCTATCTGTGGTTTGTGGCGAAGAAGAGTGAACTTGGATTTGTGTCGGAGGGAGAAGAGTTGATAGCGTTTGATTTGTTTCTTGAAAAGTTGGATCTGGTTCGTTAACTTTGAAGGTTTTGCTTGGAGGAATTGCGATCTTGGTCTTTGGATCATGCAACCAAGAAGTATCAGACCAACAGATTGTTAGCAGTACCACGTGAATTGTTACCTTGTTTTTGAATGATGTGGTTCGAATTGCAAGAACTCGCTAATAGTTTGTAGATAGAGCAGATCTAGGCACTTAACTTGCATGATAACGTCTGATGGCTCCATGAAGCAAAGAGCGCGAATGTTAACTAAAGCATTGTGGTGCGCAACGAGGCTATCAAAACCAAACCAAAAAACACACGTCATACTTTAAACTACTACTAACCGTATTACTAGCATTACTAGAGCTTCCAGTTCAGCCTTCATATTGTCATGGTTTCATTTTCGCAACAACTCGTATTCCTCTCTATGCTTCATGGACGCTACTCTGATCCGAGTAATGTCTTCATTTCTGCCCAATTATCCTCGCTCTCCCAATTTGCTCCCTCAATCCTCGCTATGCTCCTGCAATTGGATCACTTCGAAATACAGGAGGCCAATTGGGTTGGACGAGAAGATCAAGGTGGAACTAATTGTCATTGGCTGAGTTGCTGTTGATCCCACCACTGGAGCTCAACTTGGCAAGGGCGAGGTAAGTGTGTAAACTAAACTCTCAAACATTTTGTTCTTGTGGGAATGTCGAAAGAGGAGGTGTTGCTTGGATGATGGAGGCAAGGATTCGCAGAGCTTGAATATGTAATGTTGCGATATATGGGGGCCATTAATGACCATGCCGGTTGTCACTTCAGGTAAGTTCAGCTCAAGAACAGGATAACATGTTGATGTTAGAGTTATGACGTATGAGAAAACAAAGGATTTGCTATCCTAACTTTTTTTCTAGTATGCCCATTTTGCAGAGCACGATTGCCAATTGTTCGACAATATCCCCGTAGACAAACTGCCGATCCATGATGTCCCTGTCGACAATATATTCACGCTAACACAAGTACAAACACTGGCATCCCAAAGCCTCGAGGTCAGTTTATCAGTGCATGTATGGTGTCGGCTTTCATAACCGGAGGCATTTGAATAAATCTAAAGCATTGGTTTGCATTACTCTTTTGTTTATCTGCAGGGATCTACTGGGATAAATTGCCTCCAGAGAAACTCGGCCAAGTTCTGATAAGAAAGGAGCGCGATTGGTGTATTACTGGGTCGGCTCAGAGAGCTCAAGAGACGGATTGAGAAGGAAACTGGACACAAACTACCTACTGGACCATCACAAAAGCTACCCCCTAGTGCTCAGCGGAAGAAACGCAGATAGAATTATGTAATGAAGCCATTTCTGACTCCAGCTCAAAGTTTATGAAATGAAGAAATTTGGTACACATAGTAGTTGAAACGATTTTCTACTGTTAGCATATTGTTTCTTTTAACACTATATAGTATAGAGAAGGAAATACACAAAAGAACAATCGGATTCGCAGCTATTATGTACACACCTAAAACTGTCTTGAGATACATATGATTCCTCTTTGACAGGGCAAATCATCCATCCACGGGAGGTAGAGTACTCATGATTTAGTACCTTAAACCATTCTGGTCAGTGGCGTCCCATTTTTCTGATGCAAAATTCTTTCAGCGGGAGCTATGGTTTGTGGCATTGTCATACCAACCGAGACAATGATCTCTGTGTCAAAGATGGCAAAACATTTCGTTAACATATGACGCGCAAGTAACAACGATCAGATTGAAGTAACAAATGGAGGACAATATGAAAGAAACACTCCTGTTGCATATATATATATATCCTGAAACTCTTAACAGAATCACATAGCTCAGAGAGTTAGGGATAAGGCGGTCTGACCTATTCCTTCCCTAATTGACAAGTTTGGTCTGATAATATCTTTTGAGTTGACCAGAAAAATGTCTCCAATATATAAATGGTTTGTTGGAACATAAACGCTGCACAGCTCTTCATCACCATCTTCTCTCTGGATGAAGCAAACCACATCGTCAGGACTTGTGTGGATACTCTATTAAAGCCTTTCGGACAGCATTTTAAAAAGGGTGAATATTTCTAATTCTTGTACTTGCACTGTTGCACGAGTTAACATAGTGAGAAAGTTAAAATGGTCCGCCAAGAAGATTCACAAGAACTATAAATTTTATCAGTCTACACCCTTCACAGTGACATACGGAAAACAGATTTCGCTATCTCACATCCTTACTACCATGGTTTATCATTTAGAGGCATGCGTTAAAATTGGGACTACTTGATAAAATTTTAAGCCAGTTACCAACCACAGAGCCCTCTAAAAAAGTGTGTTAAATATTTACCTGAAGGAGAACAGTGGATGTGATGAAGCCAAATGCATATTCCCCTTGACGTGGATGACGGATGATTGCCACCTCTTTAAATGCAGTAGTATTTTGGTCTGCGATTAAAAAGGTCACCAAAGTTAAATGAAATGTTACCCAATTACTTAGTCAAGGGTAGTCACGAAAATACCTCAGTAAATTCAGTAGTTCTAAAATGCATTCTTTTATAGGTAGTCACAGCACAAGCCAACAAAGTCAAATGAAATATTACCCAATTGCTTAGTCAAGGATAACCAATTATGTCTCTTAACCTCTCCCAAACCTCTGCATTCTATTACGATTTACGAGAAATGAAAAGGAAATAGCAAAATGTAGGCATCACAGATCCTTCGTTCAAATGGGAAGGCCTATTTCCTTTTTCCTTCACAAGGGTTTCAAAGTAACATTCTTATTTTGGTAGATCAAATAACATTCATCTAGAGAATTACCAGGAGAAATAGCTGCACTGAGTTGCTTGGAGGCTGAATATAAGTGCTTCACAAATGGCATTTGCTTTATGAGCCATTCACCAAGCCAGAATACAGTGGCACCAAACCATGATGAAGCAAATATCCCCACAAAGAATATGAAAAGTAGTGACGTAATAAATCCAAGGCCTGTTTCAAAAACAGTGGTATATATCACTAGCGGATAGAATAGAAGGAACAAGTTAAGTTAATACTTCAATCAGTTGCACAAATTTACAGACAAGAATGACTCAGCATTATCAAAAATCTAATCACAATAAAGAGAAATGCAAGGATCTCAGCAAAGAATTGGCGAGTGGTCGATTAAATATCTTCAAGAAGGCATGGTTTCATGGTTGCAATAGAAACTCCAACAGAGGTCAAAACGATGGAAGCGATCTTTGTATTCCTTGTGTAGGATCAACTAGCACTAGAGAGACACTAAAAAACTATCCAATTTCCTAGAAAGTAATGTGGCTACAAGATGACGATGGACTTTGAAATGTTTGGAAACAGCTGCTAATATCAGCATGAATATTCAAGGTTGAGCAATGCTGTAGACAGGACTTTGACACCTTTATCTTCGCATTAGCAGTTTAACCTGTCTGGTGGTAACCAGAACCATTAGGGGAGGGAGTCCAGTAGGTTATCCCATATTATAAATTAGCTGTTAGGTTAGTTTTTGTCTTGAGACACATATTTTTTGTATGAAATGTCTGGGAATAAATTGATTGGGATTGTCTAAAGAACTTTAAGTTTTGAAATATGGACAGGTCATGTGGCGAGAAGGACAAAATATCCATGTAGAATGGAAATGCTAGTCTATGGTGACAGTTCTTTGCCAAACCGTAGATATCTACTATAGACCCTAAAGTTTAAAGACATATAAACAGCAAAACTTCTCTCTAGACACTATAAAAGCTTACCCCCTCACAAATTATCATACAGAGGTTGGCAGTTTGCCAATCAATTAAATATCCACATCACTCCATGCTATATAAAACTGAGTCACCTATTAAATGGGTTCATGGCATCACATGCTCTGTACCAGGTAACAGAGTATGACTCTGGGGAAAAAAACTCCAGTAAATAATTCTTACCAAATATATCAACGCCAAAATATCCATGTAGAATGGAAATGCTAGTCTATGGTGACAGTTCTTTGCCAAACCGTAGATATCTACTATAGACCCTAAAGTTTAAAGACATATAAACAGCAAAACTTCTCTCTAGACACTATAAAAGCTTACCCCCTCACAAATTATCATACAGAGGTTGGCAGTTTGCCAATCAATTAAATATCCACATCACTCCATGCTATATAAAACTGAGTCACCTATTAAATGGGTTCATGGCATCACATGCTCTGTACCAGGTAACAGAGTATGACTCTGGGGAAAAAAACTCCAGTAAATAATTCTTACCAAATATATCAACGCCAAAATATCCATGTAGAATGGAAATGCTAGTCTATGGTGACAGTTCTTTGCCAAACCGTAGATATCTACTATAGACCCTAAAGTTTAAAGACATATAAACAGCAAAACTTCTCTCTAGACACTATAAAAGCTTACCCCCTCACAAATTATCATACAGAGGTTGGCAGTTTGCCAATCAATTAAATATCCACATCACTCCATGCTATATAAAACTGAGTCACCTATTAAATGGGTTCATGGCATCACATGCTCTGTACCAGGTAACAGAGTATGACTCTGGGGAAAAAAACTCCAGTAAATAATTCTTACCAAATATATCAACGCCAAGTTGTTCATATATTGGACTGAAGAAACTGTCCACAAACTCAATGAACCACCATGTGACTAAGAATGTCACAGCTACCGGAAATAGAACAATGCTGCAATTTTCACAGACTCGAATAGCATCAGACGAGGCAAGGAAACCGAACAAAATCAGAGATGAAAGAAGATAATCAAATAAAAACCTGAAAGATAAGCTTTTTCTTACCATCCAGTCATGAACTTCTTTGAGACCCAACTTTGCAGAACAGCATAGCAAGCCTGGTAAAAACTTAAAAATTGTTAAGCATGCACAACATTGGTATTCCATAACAATATAACATGCATCAATCACTACATCAACTGCCTAGCTCATCATTCCAAGAGGCCTCCCCCTTCACAAGTCACAACTGGATCCAGTTTCAGAAATTACATATTCTATACGACGGCATATTTGGCTGATATGAATCTCCAGCCAAAAACCTCCCAGTTTGTTTCGGGAGAGTGAAGACGCGTCATTCACCACTCAAATTGAACCTGATCTTGAGTAATGTACTCAAATCTTGGTCCTAAGATCAAATCAACAATAGCAGTGAGATGAATTCACCAGGGGAAACGACTCATCCTCCAATTTCCCTCCCATTTTCACCCCCATTCATCATTCACCGAGCAGGTTGACTTGCTTGCATCCCAATGGCGGAAATGGAAAAAAGGATACACTTACTAGATCCCGGACCAGAGGCCAAGAACAAATTCAATTCCAATACGCCAATTACACACGTGAGAAGAATTGTGTAGAAGCTTAGGATCAAATTGACCACAAAAGGAAGGTTTTATCGACGAGTCAACAGAGCAAAGTCCCTTTCTCCACAGGAAAAAGACAAGTAGCGGTTGGAGAGAGTGAGTGAGCGGAGTGTTACCTTGCGAGTGGAAGAGCCAGGGGAGCTAGGAGGAGACTTGGGGACATCTTCCGAGTCGGACTCGTGGCGAGTCAGATCTTGCTTCTCCGAGCTTGACGACGACGATTCTTTATCCGCTGCCATTCCCAACAAACCCTGAAAATCCTCCGTCCACTTGGAGCCCCTAGTCACAAATAAATGAAAATCCAGAGAACTCTCTGGCGGAGCGAACTCCCGGTGGAAATGAAGGAAATGGAAATCGGGAGTCGCCGGAGCCGACTTCTGTATGTTCTTTGTTTCTTCCACTTTCAGTTGGTTGGGTAATGGGGGCTAAAAGACCGGCGGGCGGACTATGGAAGGTGAAAAGGAAGACTGGAAGTTGAAACTTGAATGAAACACATTACAATCTTTAGGTGCTGTTTGGATGTGAATTATCATATTCCTCTTCTCGATTATAACAATCCTCTTTAAAAGAAAAATAGATCCGTCTAATTCGTATTAACGATGGCACGATCCATAGTTATTTTCATGGTATTATAATTTATAAGAGAGCTAATAATATAAGTTTGGGTCGCTCACATCAAATGGATGTGTGCCAAAATTTACAAAATGACTACTATTAACAAGGAAGTCGGGCAACACAATTGCTTTCTCTAAAAATATGAGGGATTCTAACTCCCAATTTCATTCCAAAAGACTTTCAATTATCCAATATGCTTTGCCAGCAAGCCATGAGCATGCTTACTATCTTTCTAGCTCTTAATGATTTCAATTGTTGTCGATGAATCTAGATTCAGCTTGACCCTTATGTATCTAATTGCACCAGGTCAAATCAAGTCCTTCAGTCGCGCCGTCAATTTGAAATAGTACCCACCGTTCCTTGGTGGCTTCCATCCAATTTGCTGGAGTGTATTTGATTTATGGTTCGGCAACAAGCTTCATCTGGCATTCTGCTGTGCTTTCCTGTTGATCTCCAGCCACGCCAGAATTTTGTGTATACACTATTTTCTTAGAATTTTTTCCATCCATGACTTCATCATTCTTCTGTCTCCAGAGGATCCAACAGTTGAGCTCAAAGTATGTCCTTGTCTCCTCGTCCATAAGTTTCTTGTTCAGCCATGTGTGAAAATCGACATTGTTGTTCTTCTCCTTCACTCTATCTTTGAACCGATTCCAAATTCTTGCACTCTTGGTGCAGTTGCGGAGGATATGATCCACTGTTATCCCGAGCAGTGGCTACAGTCACCATTCTTGGCCAGCTTTCACCTTTACCTTTCTTTGTTTGTGAGTAGTCTCCTATGAGTTACAAGCCAGCGAAAGTGATTCATTCGGCTTGGACCTCTCCACTTTCAAAGATCCTTCCACATTTTATCTGGTTTGTGCTCGAAGTTGCCAACAGCAAGATTATAAGATGATTTCAGTCGAAATCTTCCATCCCTCTCCATAGCCTAGAGTGTAATTTTTAGGTTGGTTTGGTTGTTGAATTTGATTCATGAATTCAAGATTCCAATTTTAATTTTAATTTTGATGGATTTTATTAAGATTTATTATTTATTGATAGATGTCAAATACGTGGTTTTATAAAATTGGACTTTTTTTAATCCAAATTTGTGGATCGCTAGGAATTGTAAACGCATAATAATTGATTTGGTTGAAGAGACTAAGATCCATGATGGCTATTGATTCATGTAACAGATCTATCGTGTAAACAATAGACTCTTCAAATTCATAATGCAATTAATCTATCATAAATCCTAAGACAAAAGCAAAAAAACCATAAGTTTGAGTTATATTTGACTTTTTTTACTCACCAAAAAGGGGTTTTGCTCCGAAAGTGAGTTCTAGAAAGTCAAAGGTGGTTATAACCAAACTAAATAAGGCTAAATTTCATTAACCATGGAATAAAATATCATAACCAAACCGTCCAAACTAATACAACAACCAAATTAACTAAACTAAAGTTTAATCGGTTTGGTTAATTGGTTAACCAGATTAACCAATATAAAATCACATTATCATTGACGATGAAAATTTTACGGTTAATGCAACAATTCGCAATTTATATAATGAATAAAACATAACAACCAACACGTAGTTATAGTTGACCCTTAACAAAAATACATGCAACTAAGACAATTATCTTAAGATTAGTATAGAACTATTCACCTAACAAAAATTTATGACATTTATCTAAATTGACTTAGTCTCTTAGCAATTATCATAGGCCGGAAATGACCTTCCTTTCAAGTTTCCATCCATCATAATGTATGAAATTTATCTAAATTAGGCGTCCATATGTTGTGGTCTACATTTTACATATACAAATATATACTATATGAGAAATATTGAGCTTTATATTTTATGAGTCTAAAAGGGATGAACGTTAACTCTTGAGTGGTTATGCAAAGTATTAAGTATGTGTATATAATATATGTTAGATATATGACTAATTACTTAACTGGTTAATTTGGTTTGACTGGTTAGGAGTGTCTGAAACCAAACAAAACCAAACCACCTAAACCAAACAAGCTAAAACCTTTAACCAAACCAAACCAATTATCCAAATTAATCAAACCAAATTATCCAAATAGTGCCGGTTAAAACGGTTACCATGGTAACCAAACGGGTTGAACACCCCTACATGCATGTCAGGATTAATGGCTTAAGGCAAATACCAATTATTTTTCTTGATTATTGGTTCAATTTTTTTGTGTGATTAACTAAACAAATTATTCATTTTTCATTGAGTGTGATCTATCTGGAACAGACCGAATCAGACCGCACAGGCGTGATCTGGATCAGACCGTATAATATGTGGTCTATACTTCAACCTTTCAGTCTGGACCATAGATCGTATATATGGTATTATCTGGACCATACCGCACCATTTCCCAGCCCTATGTGTCAATTAAAAATGTTACATTATTAAGCTGGTCCATTAATATTCTCCACATTCTGTAACAAATGTTTTTTCTTCTCCATTTCATGCACAAGTACCTCTAACAGACTAAAACCTTTCTGTACATGAGGTAAAAGGTCTCTGTATAAAATCAAAGGCTAATAGCATTTTATACCCCTCTATATTTTAGTAAATTAACAAATGTATTCATTTACTAAATTTTTGCACAAACATAGCCTTATACTATTCAATCGTAACAAGTTTACCATTTCATCCAATTATTAGTTAAGTGATCATTAAATTGCCTGAAAAATGACTTGCCCCTCATTTAGTCCTAATTTCAATTTTAATTATTTTATTATCTATATCCAAAATTAATTAATTAGAAAAAGAAAACCCATAAGTCTCCCTTGCGGCTGGAGTAGTGAGAATTAGGGATGGCAACAAAACCCGAACCCATGGGTACCCACCCGACCCAACCCGGTCAACGTTGGTAAAATCCGTGTTGACGGGTTTTGGGCCGGGTTTGGGTTTAAACCCGTTCACTATTCACCGGGTCGGGTTGGATTTAGGTAAATCCGACCCATGGGTACCCGCCCACACCCATATAATTAATTTTCTCGGTATATTTAATATTTTAAACAACTAATCTTATTATGTTTGTGGAGACATGTCTAATTTTTTCTTTCTAATTGTGTAGAATAAAGTTGATGTTATCAAGTGGAGAGTGAAGAAACTTAATTGAAAGGAAGAAGCTTTCAATAATCATGTTATTTATGGATAATTTGTGATTTACTTCAATTTTCTTGAGTTTTCTAGATTGGTTTGGTGTTGAACAATTTGTATACTTAATTCGTGATTTGCTTGAATTTTCTAGAATGGTATTTTAAATATGGATAATTTGTATTGAGAGATTGTTATCTGACTTTAATTTTGATAGGAACTTGTTATTGTAAATTTTTTACGACAAAAACCCGTGGGTACCCATGAACCGCGGATACCCAGCGGGTTGGGTTGGATTTGAGTTTTTCAAACCCAGGGGGTTTTACCCTGAGTTTTTCACGGATAAATCCATGGTTTGGGTTTGGGTTTGACAAACCCCACCTAACCCTGACCCATTGCCATCCCCAGTGAGAATCGTTCGTTAGGCGGCTGGAGAGGATAGAATCTGGTCTCGTCTCATCAAATGGTAATTATAATTATATTGTTATAAACTAATTAGGAATGCTTTCTAGGCCAGTGGTGAAATTTGGGATTCAACTGCCGTCTGTTTGGTTAGCTTCCCTTCCAGAACACACCCAGAAACCTTCGATTCGGATCCATGACTATAAATTGTCAATGGGTGATGATGATGATTTCAGGGGTGGCATCACCTCCTTTCTTATCTAGTTGACCAGAGTTGACTTCCCCTGTGGGTAAAACTTGGGGTCTAAGAACCGATTCTCTGCCGCGAGGAGATGCGGGAGCTGGCGTGAGGAGGGAGATGCGGAGCAGACGGCAGCTGGCGTGATTTCAGAGGTCACTGTTTTTTTTTACAAAGGAGTATCTTGCATTGCACTATGAATGATTGGTTACAAAGAGAAACAGATGGATCAAACTGAAATCAATCAACGTAATGAGATCCCGAGCAAACGGTTGACAACAAACCGTGCTTGAGAGATACATCAAGAAGAGCAAAGCATAGAGTGAAAACAACCACCCAAAAAATCAGAACACTAGAACCAAAAACAGTACTTCCAAAATTCCTCTGACATCCTCACAAAACATAGAACAACCAAGATAAGAGACAACTCGTCCAATCACAATGAAATTCATGGCTTGAGCAAAGTAAAACCATATGCCGCCTCCTGGGGATTGCTCGAAGACATCCATCACAGTGAATCTGATAATCGAGATTGGATGGCAGTGGAGAAGGATGTGAAAAGATTGCTTCGAGATGAAAGGGCAGAGGAACCAGCGGCGGATCCAGGGGGTGGCCACCCCGGGCCCCGGCCCAGCCCTCCTCTGGATCCATAGTTAGTATAGGCCTTATGAATTTTTCGATTTTAGATATTCGTATCGTTGTTATTTTAAAATAAGATTGGGTATAATTAGAAAAATAATTCAGATGAACATATTCAAAATCACTACTCTAAATTTAGCTTATAAATTCTAACCCAAAGGTTATTCGTCTAAAAAAACAATGAAACCTAAAAATTCAAAAAGTTTAAAACGTAAAAGAATAAAACATATATGAGGTTTGTTA